CAAACCTAACAGTAGTAATCTGAAAAGAACTCTCATTCATGCTTCCAGCCCCTAAAAAACCTTCTCCTTGAGTTTATAATTCACTTCCAGCCTTCTCCATTTTATATAAGATATTAACAGGTCACTGTTTCAAGAAATAAACCCCTGAACTGCCCCTTTTTTATGTAGAAAACCTTAGCTGATTGGAATCCGCCACCCAGAAATCACTCACAATGAAGAGTTATTTTCCAGAAACCATTTATAGTCAAGAATCACCACCAAGAAATCATTCACAGCCAAGAATCATCATCCAGAAACCATTCACAGTTAACTATAATCACCTATAAATCATCCATATTCAAAATAACAAGTCTGGGAGCAAAGATCTGATCATAGGGTTTGAAAAACCCTAGAGAAAAGAACAGGGAAGACAGAAATCTGTCAACTGCCGCTTCCCGAATGGTTTAAACTGCTCTTATTCAAGGCCAGTTTCAATAAAAAGTTCTTTTTCGAAAAGAAATTGATCGCCACCTTCAATCTCCAGTTTAAACCCTAAACTTGGACTTACCTATTTTCTCTGATCCTTCCCGGTCATCGGGCACTCTCCAAAGGTCATACAATCCCTTGGGCAGCAACTAAAGACTCCAGCAACCTCCAAGAATCAAGCAATGATGCAGAGCTTCCAGTCCTAGAAAGTTGTCATTGCAGCTGACTGGATTAGGCTCACATGAGAACCCTAATCTGTCCTAAGTTGGCTCTGATACCAACTTGGATAAAAGAAATCAGAACCTGTTTGTTTTTCTGATATAAGTTCAGTAGAAAAAGAAGAGAGAAGGTCGCGAATAGAAGAAGAAAAGAGAGAAGAGAAGAGAAGAAGAAAAGGAGAAAAGGAGAAAAGGGTGCAGATAGATGATCTTGTCGCCCCATCAGATTAGTATTTATATGTTTGTAACATAACATTAGTGGAGTTACACAAATATTCCTTCTGAAACAGAAATTAATATAAAACAAATATATCTGGCTTAACTACCATAACTACCATGAAATAAATATAAAGATATTAGTGGGATTGGGACCACACACTAGCAACTAACAACTGTCTCTACATTCTCATTAATTTAATGTGAATTTGTTATTGACCCAAGAAAACAAAAAAAGTGACACTATCTCTAGTAAGTAATTGGTGCCTTACAATGTCATATTCTAAATTTAATCCAACAAGAAACTAAAACACCCTATTTGTTTCAACCAATTTGCTATATTATGTTGCATCCTTCTGAATTTCCCACTCATTTGTCTCCAAATGATCAATTTCATACCATAATGATTTCAAAGTAGAGAGGTAAGCAGATACTAATTTCTTCCCCCTGTATATTTTTTTCACTTCATTCTTCAATTCATAAGCTCTAGCAACATTAAGAGGTTGAGAGTAAGTCTCCTTCATGTAAATTTCCTTAGCAGACTTAACCTATAGATGATTCCTGCAACTTCCATGAAACCTATTGTGCAGGAATTGTGGCCCCCACCAACACAACAAAGAGTGATATTGAACTTTGATGGGACCAATAGGAGTGGGGGACTCGTTAAGAGATGAAAATGGCAGAATTGTGGCTTTGTTTTCAGGACCAATAGGAGTAGGGGACTCATTAAGAGTGGAGGTGATGGCCTTGCTTCAAGATGTAAGATATGCAAAACAGTTGGGGTTACACCAAATTGAGATAGAGGGAGACTCTAAATTGTTGATTGAGTGGCTGCAATCTAGTAAGTTGGGAGCCTGGATTTATAGACAGCCCATAAGGGAAATCCTCAACATAACAAGGGAGATCGGTGCATGCTTCAAATGGACAAGGAGATCAGCTAATGGTTTAGCTGACACGTTGGCTAAACAAGGGACTATGAGGGAGAGTATGTTCTGGGCAGTTTTGTAAGAAAGATTATTGGGGGCTCAACACCTACTTAGGGGTTGACAGCTGTACTTAAATCTGGTAAGTTTTTTAAGTTACTTTAATGAAGTTACCGTTTCCAATAAAAAAAATAGATAATTCCTGCTGATGTGCAGCTGCATGGTATTACACAACCAAGTCATTACCAAATAGTTTTCTTGAACACATTTGGCATGAGATGTATCTTCCTCGGCTGGTTTCTGTGTCTCTAGTTACATATCCTAGTTTTCCCCTTCCTCCAATGGTTATCATGGCCGATTGAGCCCATTCCAAATAATTTGTGCCATCAAATTTAGCAGAGTTGTTTGACACATTTCCAGCCCCAAGAGATCCTTCCCCATGTGATTTCATTTCATTCCCTGTTGTCTCTATGCTAAACACAAAACTAAAGGTTCACACACCTGGAGGGAAAAGACCTAGAAATACACCTTAAAAGGCTGATAAAATTCTGTACAGTAACCAACCTGTAACAGTCCCTCCGATAACTGTAGGAATCACAAAAAAAAAAGGACTGGAAAGGAAAGGATTGATCACTCTCCAGTGAAAGACCCTAGAACCAGCCCTAGAGGAAGATAATTTCTTTCAGCCACTCCCTCCAGTTAGTTCTAAAGGACTCCTGTAAACTGTCAATCTGAAGAGAGATTAATTTTCTACCTATAAAACATTGAGTGCCACTTCCAATTGAAGGTTTAACTCCTAAACCTTGAATCAACCTGAATTCTCTGGTTCTTCCTGGTCATTGGGCAATCTCCAAGATTAAAAACACCTTGGACAGCAACTGGACTCTCCAATAGATTTGTTCATGGGCCAGGCTCGGGCTTGGCTTTTTCCAAAATTCTAATGGGCCTGACCTGAAGCCTGAGCCCGAGCCTGGGACAGTATAAAGTTGAGCCCAAATCCCAGCCGGTGAGCAGGTATACTCTCCAATAACCTCCAAGAATCAGGCAATAGCTGCTGAAAACTGCAGCCCTAGAAAGATCTCATGGAGTCGGATGGGTCAAGTCCACATGAGATCCTTACTCAAACCTAGACATGCTTTGATACCAACTCGGCTGAGATAGTTGGTGATCAAATCAGGTTTAGATCAGATTCCAGCACGAAAAGTAAAAGAAAAGAAGAAAAAGAGAGCAGAAGAAATGGAGAAGAGAGAACATAGAGAAAAGAAGAAAAAGGGGTCCAGATTTCTTATGTTCTGCTGCTCCATCCACTACTATTTATATTAGTAAAAGGAAAACAATGTACATTAGGGGCGAGCAAAAAAAACCGAAAAACCGAACCGACTGAAACCGAACCGATCGGTTCGGTGTTTTTTAAAAACCGAAGGTACTGGTTTGGTTTTGGTTAATCAATTTAAAAAACTGATGGTTAACCGAACCGACCGGTATACATGTTTTTCTATATATTTTCTATATATTTATGTAAATTATATATATATATATATTTATATATTATAAATTAATAAATATGCATTATATATATAAATATATATATATTTATAATATATTATATATATTTTATTATTTAAAATATATTTTTTATATATTTATAATTTTTATTATATATATTTTTTTACAATTTATATTATACAGTAAAAAAAACCTAAAAATTGACAAACCGAACCGTCGGTTAACCGAACTGGTCAACCGGTTAATCGACTGGTTTTGGTTCGGTTCCGGTTACTGGTTTTCCAAAAAGCGGTACTACCGGTTCGGTTCACAAAAAGGCCCACAGTTCGGTTAGCCGAACCGTGAACACCCCTACGTATAATGACCATAATACCCTGCCACCTAAAGAACAAATGGAAAACAGCAATAACAATAGTAAAAAGCAATAAAAAACAATATGGGACCACAAGAAGTGAAAGCTTTTTCTTGGAAGGTGTATAACAAAAAAATCAGCATGTGTAATGTCATTTATTTATGGTGTTTGGCTTCATATCCTGCTTCCTCTGTAATGCAAGTGGGAAATATACCATCTATTAATCTATTGTCCGTTTGTGGCATAAAGTTGGTCTGGGCTCTTCTCCTTTTTGGATGCAGGTGCAATCCTTCAACAGATATTTGTAGTGTCTTCAAACCCTCCTTTTTCAACCCACCAAGAAGGAAATGCAAAGCCATGTGGAGAAGCACTAGAGTTGCAATTTCTTATGTCTATTTGGGAAGAGAGAAATGGAAGGATTTTTAATTGGAAGAGGAGAGATGATAGAGTGAAGGTACCACTATCAAAGTTGTACATATCAAAACAATGAACGCTTTTTACTCCTCCATAGAAGTCATTGTAAGAGGCTGGAATTGGTTTGCAGCTTCATCTGCAGTCAGATTCATTGGTAATGCTCTATGGACACCACTCAGGATTGATGAGAAGAATTATTGGCTGCAGTCTAGGTAATCCTGGATTCTCAGTTATTGGTGTTACAATGAGATGGTAGAGGCGATATTCTAGCTTTATTTTCTGAGTCCATTGGGGAGGGAAATCAATAAGAGCAGAACTATTGGCTGTACTGCTGTACTGCATGGCTTAAGGATGGCAAAGATTTTAATCTTGAGAACTTGATAGTGGAAGGAAGGATTCTAAGGGGGTTTTGGGATGGCTGCAAAATGAAAAAGAAAACTGAGAAGAAATTTGCATTTAACTTTCAAATGGGTCCCTAGGCTGGCTATTGCTCTTGGTGATGGATTAGCCAAACAATGGGGTAAAAACTTGGGGTGTATTACAGGATTATGTGTTGTATAAGCTAGTTTTGTAAGAAGAAAAAAAAGGTTGGTAAGGTCCGGTCTGTAAGGAATGAGTTTTTTCCTATCGACGGGATTCTTGGCATGTTGTATGTAATTTTCTTTATTTTTTCTATGTAAATCAATGAAGTTATCAAGTTCATGTTACCTATGAAAAAGAGTAGTTTCAAGGCAGAAGTTAGTGTCATAGAATTTTTATTCACAGGCTGTATCATTCTCAATGGTTATAAATGAAAACTACCATTGTCAATGGTTTTATTCATTATGTTTAACTCCACTCATGGTCATTTTGTTTCATCAATTTTTTAGGCTGACTGCTGTTTATTTTATACAACTGTAATTGCAGGTCTTGTGATGGCTTTAATTGGTTCTCTCCTCAGTATACTTGTGGTATTTTTCATCTCTCCTCATTTGATTCTTTTTCTGTTTGTAGTTTACATATCAAAGGAACTGTACATGAATGCTTGATGCTAGGGAGTATACCCACCATTCAATGATTTTCATGGAGGATATTTATATTTCTGTCAAATGGCAAGGGAAGTTATGCTTTTTTGATTGTTCATGTTCTTTTTGATGGCCCAAAAGTTAACAATAGTATTGAGCATGCATGCAGTCTGTATAGAACACTGATGTGGACCCCACGGCTGTGGTCCCCACTGTGTTCGTATGACAGCACAGCATGTATTCTTTATTAGTTATGTCAGTGTTGGTTGGTAGTTATTTCAGTTTTGTTGTTACAGCCTGTTATTTCAGTCTTATTATTAGTTTATTTGCCATGTAAGCATTAAGGGCAATTCTGCCTTTTTTCTACAATTAGTAAACATATAAATAGTAAGAGTGGGTCGGCAGATTAATCTATCTGTCCCTCTCTCCTTTTCTAAAACCCTTGTGTACTTCTGCTTCTTTCTTTTCCTCTTCTTTTCTCCATCTGAAACACTTTTTTACTTTTGGATTCAAGACTGATTGTAGTCTTGATCGACTACTCAGTCAATGGTGGGTCCTATTCCTATGCGGATGATCTTGATTCATCTGCAATGTTCTTGGACCAACAATGATAAAAATAGTGCCTACATAGCGTGCCTTAAACAAATAAAATTAAAAGTAATGTAGGTTGTTGTGATCTGAGAGTTGGCACTGTGTGCAAAAAATGCTAAAGATTAGGTCCATAACTCCATATATTGTCTACTCTTCCAAGAGCCAAGATAGACAACCAACATTGGTTGATAGCCTTATGTAGGTTGTTATGAACCTTCCTAAGTTTAGCAAGGCAGATTAACCTAAAATATTTAGCTATTGAGGGTGACTCCTTCTTGGTAGTGGGTATGATGGTGAACAATAATGAGGGCCCGTGGGTTCTCAGACATGTAAAAAGGGAAATCAGAATAGCAGGAGAGATTGAGGCCACTCTTAAGAGGATTAACAGGTTTGCAAGTGCACTGGCAGACTCCTTAGCCAAGCAAGGGGTGACTAGGGGACAACTTTTATGGGTTAATATGTACTCATAAGATTTATGGGGGTATGACTCGGGTTGAGAGCCTTGTAATACTGTTAAATTTCTAATTAATCCAAGTTTCTGATTATCTATCAAAAAAATGCAATTTAAAATTTGTACCTAACTGCCATGTCTTTGGTGGAAAAATCACTCTAATCAAGAGTCTTCTTTCAAATCTGCTGATTTTTTACTTATCCCTTCTAAAGGCTTTGGCATTGTTTTAGGTGTGGAATGTAAAGATGGAGAAAAAGAAATTTCATTTGGTCAAATGGGATTTGGTGTGTAGAGCTAAAAAAGATGGGGGGTTTGAGAGTGAGAAGAGTAGGGATCTTCAATAAAGCCTTGTTGGGGAAATGGGTTTGGAGGTTTGGGAGGGAGAGTGAAGCTTTGTGGAGAAGGGTTGTAACTTGTAACTATGGAGTGGTTAATTTTGGGTGGGATGTGAGGGAGGGAAAATCATCCTAGGGGGTAAGCAAGGTTCAAAATTTTGATATGATACGCCCCATATTGAGCGTACCTTATTGTATCTTTCGGGTTCCATCGTTCTGATACGCATGTTTACAGGTGTCTTGGGATCCTCTCTTTTTTAATAAAAAATATGCCTAAATACCACCCCATAAACCAAAATTTGAAAACAAACTAAAATAAAATATAAAACCGCGTGTATCTCAGTACTGATATGACTCTGCTGATACACAGGGGTGTATCGATACTTTGAACCTTGGGGGTAAGTGTGTGGAAGGGAATTATGAGGTTTCACTCTTTGGTGCAGCCGTTGTCTTGGAGAGTGGGGTATAGTCTAAACAAGAAGGGGGTGATGGTCACTCAATGCTATGAAGTTATGAATGGATCATCGGTATGGTCTCCAAATTTTAGAAGACCGTTGCTAGTTTGGGAGATGGAGGAATGTGTGGGGCTGTTATCATAGTTGCATAAGGTGGTGGTTAATCCCATGATGTCAGATTCAAAATGGTGGAAGAAATGCAAGAATGGAAAGTTTACGGTCAAATTTTTCTATAATGGTTTGCTTAGGAATCTGGTGGAGCCGGAAGAAATAAAAGGTGTTTGGTGGAAACTGGTTCCTCCAAGAACTGAGGCTTTTTCTTGGTTGGTATCTACGGGAAGCATTCTCACTCAAGATAAGCTAAAAAAAGAGGCTTTCAATTCCCAAACAGATGTGTGTTACTTTGGCTGAGGAAGAAAATGTTCTACATTTTCTAGTTCAATGCATCGTTTAGAGTTGCATCCCCTCTGCAGTTTGTTGGGAGGTTTGGAAGGAAGAAATAGAAGAATATTTGAAGGGAAAAGGAAAAAGCAGTGAAGATTCAAGGGTGTTAATCAGCTCGAAGGTAGTTGGATGGGTTCTAGTTCTCCTAGAATTTGAAAGATTCAGTGAAGAAGACTTTGGTAGACTTTTGTAGGGTACTTGATTATATTGGGCTTTGGATTAAGGTAATCAAACAAAGAATCATGAATGGATAATAACAACTAAGAAGCTTTGTCAAAACTACATTAGAACTCATAAGAGTGAAGTAGGGGAGAGTTTTACCTTTAATGTTAAACTGTATCTGAATCCAGGGAAATGTTTTTGGGCCAAGTTTTGAAGGATTTTTGTAGGGGAAAGAAGCTTGGTCAAGTTTGAATGAATCTCTCATTTTACTCTCTTCTTTCTTTGTACACAATTTTAACATTAAAGACCTTTATATCTCTTAGATCTACTTCATTTACTTCTCACAAATGAAGTAGGAGAAATTGGGAGATGGTTCAACTGGGTAGGGAGGTGTAATGGGTAAGGTTTTAGGTGATTGAATGAAGATTTGGGTGGGTATTCATGGTTTTCTATTTTGCTTTAATTTTGCAGTTTTTCTCTCTAGTATTGGGATTGTATTGGAGGTTGAAGAGGGAAAGAAAGGAAAGGGAAGTATTATGGTTAGAGAGGGAAGGATTGTTACTTTATAGAAAAATGAAGGGTAGTGAGCTATTTTGAATCCAAAGGATGAGATCAAATAACTAGGTTCATTCAAATACTGTGTGGTGGAGCTTGCCACCTGCTTGTATAGACTTTCTGTTTTAGTGTTTTCTTCTGTTTATCAAAAAAAAAAACAAAAAAAAAAATTCAAATCTATGGTTTAGGAGGGATTACTTCAAGTTAAATTAAAGCCAAATTACCAACATGCCTTTTCTTGTTCTGTATTTATCACTATATATGCTGCAGAGGCATTAATGTCTTTTTGTTCTTCCTTTTTTTATTGTATTGTCACCCTACTATAAATACTAATAGAGATGCTGCCATCCTATCTTTTTGGCCCTCATTCTCTCTTCTCTTTTCCTCTCTCTCTTCTCTATTCTTTCTTCTCTTCTCTGTTTTACTTTATTGCTGTTAATATGGTACCAGAGCAGGTCTTGAAGGCCTGAGAACATATCGATACTTCATTACCTTCTTTTCTCTTGCTCTCTTGGACAGAAAGACAACTACAAGCTACTGATTCGATTTGAGAAACTCATAGGTCTCTCCATTCCTGTTCTTTCTCTTGGTTGTGCCAAGAAAACCCAGAAACTTGGTGATCGGATGCAGTGAAGGAAATAAGAAACCTTCTGTAGATCGTATGATCTTGTTCTAATGAGGAAGATGCCCTCAGCAGGTCTAGTATGACCTATTGGTGTAGTGACATTTGTGGACTTGTGCTGTTAAGCAATCGTGGGATCTCTAACTGGTGCTGTGAAGCAATCGTGGGGTCTGAATTGGTATAGTACTGTGTTTTCCCAGACTTGGAGGTGCCCTGATCAGTTTTTGAAGGTGTGTGATTTTTCCCCTTGAGAATCTAGTACTTTGATCCCTTGGAAGGGTGCTATCTAGAGGTACAACAGTGTTTTTTTGTGAGAAATCTAGTGTGAGGGTGCTGTTACAATGGTTTTTGATGACAGTGCTACTTCAGGTGTTACATCTGAACAAGGAGGATTGAATAGTAGCATAGACCATATGAATTTCCCAATGACCATTATTCCCCTCGTTGGTAGAAATCCAAAGAGATGAAATTGTACATCACAGCTAGGGGCAAGATTGGTAATTGGTTACATAAATGGAGCAATAAAAGAACCAAAGACATGCACTGCTGAACATGATAAGTGGAATCAATAGAATTGCTTAATCGTGATGTACCTTCTGGTGCCCGTGTGCCCCCTTTGACGTGGTCCTGGTAATTGGTTCATTCCTCTCTTTATGCTATGTATTGGGCTTTCCCATTTCTACACTCCTACAGTGCAGAAACAACTACATTATTGAATTCAATTTTTTGTTTTTGTGGATTTTCGCTTGGAAAAGTCATAACAAATAGTAGAAACTTCAAATGGCTATGAACCTCATACCATCAAATCCCTAAAATCAGGGTGATTTGAACTGTACCAGATTGAAGGGTTGTTGCTGCCACTTGTACGGACTACTGATGTCATTTGGCAATAGTCTGACGACAGTTGGTTATCCAGGTAACATGATTCTAGTGAATTTTGAAATGGCTCTCCATAAGAGGCTAAATGCTATTTTAGCCCATGAGGAAATATACTGGGCCCAAAAGTCAAGAATTGATTGGATTAAGCTTGGGGATAGAAACAACACTTTCTTTCATACCTCAACAACCATTAGAAGGAACCAAAATAAAATAGTTAAAATTAAAGATGAAGATGGTCAATATATATATGACCAAAAGAAGATTGCTGAACATATCTATAGTAAATTTGAAGATAGATTCAAAGTTGTGGATGTGGAGGGAATTGATAATTTTGTTGGGATAATAAGTCGATGTATTTCTAATGAACAAAACTATTCCAGCATCTGAGAGGTGACTGATGAAGAGATTAAATCAACTCTCTACTCTATGAAGGATTTGAAAGCCCCATGGCCTGATGGGCTGAATGTTATTTTCTTTAAAAAATTTTGGCCCATCATTGGTCATTCTATTTGTAATGTGATTAAAACATTTTTCACTCGGGAAAGATGAATAGAATTTTAAACAAAGCATTTATCACTATCATCCCAAAGTCTGAGAATGCAGACTCGGTTAACAAGTTCAGACCTATAAGCCTCTGTAATGTTATCTATAAAATCATTGCTAGGATTCTTCTTGATAGAATTAAGCCCTTCTTGGACGACATCATTTCCCCTTTCTAGAGTGCCTTCATCTCGGTAGGCAAATCATTGACAATGTTCTGATTGCCCATGAAATTCTCCATTCAATGAATAATAAGAAAGTTAAGACTGGGGCTATGGCTTGTAAGATTGATATGGAGAAAGCTTATGATAGACTTGATTGGAGTTTTATTGTGGGTAGCCTTAGGAGATATGGTTTCCAACCCAAATAGATTGGTTGGGTTCTGTCCTAGGTGTCGGCAACGGAGGTGTTTAAAAATCAGAATTTGAGTCTGTTGTTTACATATCAGAACTGGTTGTATCTGTAATTTGTGATGGCTCTAGGCAGCCTCTAATGGCCTAGGCTCCTTTGTCCTGGTTCTTGTTTTAATAAATTACCTTACCTTTTCAAAAAAAAATGTATCAAGTTGGTTTCATACCAGATCCTTATTAATGGTGTTCCTTTCAAGGAACTCATACCCTCTCGAGGAATTAGATAAGGAGACCCACTATCTCCTCATCTTTTTGTGCTTTGTGCCGAAGCCTTAACAAGGAATTTGCAGGAAGTCTCCCATAGTCATGGGAAACTTATTAGATGTAAAGCCTCGAGATATGGCCTGTGCATCCCAATCCTTCAATATGCAGATGATTGTCTAATCTTTGCAAGGGCCAACATTCAAGCTTGCCTGACTATCAAAGATATATTGGATAAATTTGTAAAGGCCTCTGGCCAGGCTCCTAACTTCACTAAGTCAAGCATCATCATATCAAAGAATATTCATCCAAGATTACAAAAAGTTTTGTCAAGAATTTCGAAAATTCCACTAGGCAATAAAAATGATCTTTATTTAGGAGCCCTAGTCTCCTTTAACAGGTATTGTAAGAAGACCTTTAATTTCCTAAATGAGAAGATCGAGAAAGGACTTGCTGGGTGGAAAAGAAACACGTTGTCTCATGCAGAAAAGATCACACTCCTCAAGTCTTCGACAAGTATGATCCCTTAGTATATCATGAGGGCCTTCAAAATTCCCAAAAATACCATAGAGGAGATGGACAAGAAGCAAAGAGAGTTTCTTTGGAAAAGTAGTAACGATAAAAGCTTATACATTTGGTTAACTGGAACAGAGTTTGTACTTCAAAACAGTGGGGAGGAATGGGATTGAGGAATCTTTGGTGGACTAGCCAAGCTAACTTGGCCAAACTTGGCTGGAGAATTTTGAATGAAGAGGATAATCTCTTGGTCCAGGTTGTAAGACAGAAATACCTAAGAAGGATTTTTGGGACCTAGACAACAAAGGGTTATTCTTGGGCATGGAAAGACATTCTTTCATCTAGAGACCTTATTAAATGTGGTATTGGTGTTATCATTGGCAATGATAACACAACCAGATTCTGGCTGGATAACTGGGTTGATGGGGGACCCTTTGTTATGAGGTAAATAGAGGTACCATTTACTGATATTAATCTCAAAGTTAGTGAGGTAATTAACAAGGAGAAACTCACATGGGATAAAGCAAAAAATTTGCAGTTTGGTCCCTGTTTCAGCTTGGAATAAAATTAAGGCAATTTTTATCCCGTCTAGTGATACTAGAGACAAACAAATTTGGAGACCCAACCAGGATGGCAGTTTTTCCATTAAATCAGCCTACAATGAAGCTTGCATTATGAATTGCAATAACCCTGGAAATTGAAATGGTTCCAAAAAAGTGGTGGGTATGAAAACCCCTCCAAAGTACAAATATTTCTTATTCTTGCTTCTCAACCTAAAGCTGCCCACAAAGAACATGCTAATTTTGAGAGGGCTGAATATTGATGGTTCCTGTGTGATGTGTGGAGAGGAAAAAGACACAAACCACATTTTTATAAATTGCCCTATTGCTAAACAAGTATTGAATATTGCTAAAGACTCCCTCTGGATTCCCAATGACTTCAATGGTAATATTTGTGATTGGTGGAATCTCATCTCGAGTAATAATGGAATGGATCCGGGTGGCTCATATAGAAAGGAGAAATTTACACTCCTCCTCTGGCAACTTTGGAAGAATCACAACGAATGTGTTTTCAAAAATAGGAGTGTGCCTCCCTATATTATCATTGAAAGGGCTTTTAATGCGTTTTTGGAGATCCAAGGGGTGAATGATGGAGATCAAAGTAGTTTGAGAAAGAAGGAAGTTCTTCCTGTTAGATGGAATAGTCCTGAGTTTGAGGCTATTAAAATTAATTTTGATGCCTCGTGTATCAATGGGGACTGCTTAGTTGCTTGTGTTGCCAGGGATCACCTGGGCATATTTTGGATTTCAAGGCTTAGAAGCTAGGAGAAACTACAACCAATGTAGCTGAAGCGTGGGCTGCGTGGGTGGCCCACAATCTTATTCTTAACTTTCCTAACAGGTACATACTAAGGAGATTCAAAGCTAGTTATTGATAGGCTGAAAAGGATTTCCAGCCCCCCGTGGAGAGTGCGTCCAATTATTGAAGAGTGCATCGCTTTAAGGGAGAGATTAGAGGGAACATTGAGTTCATCACATCTACAGAGAAGGAAATATTGCTGCAGACTGGCTAGCTAACTATGCACACATCAATTAAGCATCTTTCAGCTCCATTCCTAGGCCTCTAAGTGTAATCACCTGTTTTGATTTCTGGGGACGTGCTACCCCCTGATCCATGTAGCCCCTTTCTGGTTCTATAGGAGGTGCTCTGACAAATGGTGTTTCCAAAAACAAAGTATTCATACTAGATGAGCGAAATACAAGATTTCCCTTACATGGGTGCCCAAATACAAAAGAGAAGAAAGGTTGAAATACCCTTGAGACAACATAGACTTCTTCTTGCATACTCTTAACAGGTTCCATACATTGAACCCTGAACAACAGGGGAACATGGTGCTATATTTGGTGAGTGAAACTGCAATGAATGATTAGGTACTTAACACCTTCCTTGCCCATACCGCACAAGTAAAAATAGTAGTCTGAACTAGATAGTAGAATACTGTCTTATAAAAAGTTACCTTAAAAAAATACAAGTAGCCTGAAAGGGAGTGCTTTTTGGGCTAGTTTTTAATTTTTCTTCTTTGCATTCCCTTTGTTTTCTGTTTTTGGGGAGCTAAGTTATTTTATCTCCCCTTTTGTATCCATATTCCCTCTTTTCTTTTAATTTAATGAAGATGGTGTTATTGATAAAAAAAAAATTCAAGCTTAAAGTCTAAGATGAACATGTGAAGATTACAAATTACCACTTCTAGTAGTATCTTTTGAGTGACTCAATAGTCTGTTAGGCATACGAGGAATCCTAGGCTGATGCAAACATGGACTCACCACACCAACAGCATAAGAAATGCTGGGCCGAATCAAGAGAGATGGAACTCTTTTGAAAGACAATAGAATAACTTTATTGAAGATTAAAATTATTTACAAATTTCCAAAGTAGCACCCACAATGGTGGTTTGCTACAGTTAGCATACACCAATACATTCATTGCAAAAATTACAACTCCCACCCCTGGGGGACTATTCCCTAGAACAGATGGTTTCCTTATTGCTCCTTGCTTTACTAGAGAATCTACCAAAGCATTTTCAGACCTTGGTATCCAAACCACTGTGGCATTGAGTGCTCTCGATATGCCTTTTACCTCCCTTGTTGGGTTTCCTTATTGAATCCCCTTAAATTGATGTTCCTTTGATTCATAGGCTTTTGATACTCTTTGCTCCCTCTACTACTACACAGAGTTCTGCTTCAGTCTTGGGATTGTATCCTACTTCATTAGCTTTATATTAGTGCAATACAACACAATAAAATGACAGATCTACCCTCAATTATGAAATATAACCAATGTGACAAATATGTCCTTGATCTAGTATGTATATTACCGTTACATTGAAAAGCATGCTTTCAACAGTCCTATATTTGTTTATTACATGATTAGCTAATTTCAGCAAGATGGAGTTATGAAGCATCGAAGGATTTCATGTTTTGGATTTGTAGATGGGTTTAGGATTTGCTTAGTGTTACTAGTGTTGCATATATAATGTACACCCAGGGGTTTCAGGTTTTGGTCTTTTACAGTTAGCATACACTATGGGTTTAGGATTTGCTTGGTGTTATTAGTCTCTTCTTCCTCTTTTTTCATCTTCTCCTTTTTGTTCTTTTTATTTTTATTTCTAAATCTTTATGTATTTCATTGTGACTATATTAATCTTGGTGTAAAATGCTTAAATTTGGTCCTTTTTTATCATTATGTGCTGGATACTAATATTAGAGAATGCATGTTCGTTATTTGTTATATTGGTTTATGTCTATTGCATTAAATTTTTGTTTTTAACTTCTCTATATCTGGAACCTGAACATCATTATTTGTCATTAATACTTTTGTTTTTATCTGTTACTACTGCATGGAAAATATTGAAAAATTCAAATATATTGAGAATGATGATTTATTGTAAACTGTTGATCTTTTTTTGTTGGTTTTACTGCTCTTGTGCAGGCAGTTATAATGCCAGCTCTATTTTTCATAAAGATTGTCAAGAAAGCAACACCAGTGCAGGTAGACTAAAACAAAACCATAGAGTTACTTGTAATTCAGCATTTTCTTATCTTCTCATCTTGAATAAATTGTGATTGAGATTATATTAATGATGAGGAGGGAGAGATTTCTTCAAAGAGTACATAGTTAAAGAAAGCCACACACACACACACAGACCTGTTCATGGTTTGGGCTTGGGCTTAGCTTTTGCCAAAATTTGAATGGGAAAAAGCAAACCAAAGGTACCAGCTCAGTTTTTGGTTAACCTAGAAAAAACCCGTGGTTAACTGAACCAACTGAGATTTATTCTATATAATATGCATTTATAGTATTTATATTATATATACTTGTTAACCGAACTGGTCAACTGGTTAACCAAATTGATTCAGTTTTATTTTGGTTTGGTATTTTTTAAAAGCCAACAGGATTGGTTATCCAACTAGTGAGCACCGACTGTTTCAGTTAACTGGTCCATGATCTATTCAGTAACCTCAATGGTGTGGAGCTTTGAAATATAGATCCTCTTTGTCCACTTCTGATCTTTTCAAGAAATCTGCTATAGTTAGCTGATCTACATGTCCAATTGAATGAGATATTCATTCCAACTTTCAAAAACATGATTGATGATGAAGCTAATGTTTGAATTGGTTCTTATCTTTTTGGTTGTGAATCTATACATATTCATCTCTTCTTACTGTTTGTCTTAATCAGGTTACTCTGAGCATTGGTATAGCTGCATTGGGAATTATCGGTGCAATCCTAGGGACATACTCTTCGGTGTCACAGATTATAAGGAATTACTGAGATTGTTGTACTGATCCCATGGTACAATACTTCTGAAGTATGGATGTTCATTGCCTAATGAAGTTGTATTTTTTGCAAGCTTTCTATTAGTTCCAAATATAACATCTATACGAAATATGCCAATGCTTGGATTTTGGTGGCATTTTACCTATTGGGCTTACTTGTCTAGTAGAGACTGAGATCAGTTCTACTCTAGATGAGAATTCAAAACAGAGATTGGAAAAGAGAGAGAGAGAGAGAAGAGAGAAGTCGAAGAGAAAGATTTCAGAGTTGAGAGTGAATAGGCTTGCCGCCCCACTCAGTATATATATATATATATATAAGATTTAAAAATGTACACTTACAATATTGCCCCTACTAACATAACATGTCAGCAACTTACAATAATAACAGAAATAACTAACTTAACTTACTGACACTAACAACAATATAAATAAAGACATTACTGCCCTACAACTCTACAGGCATAACCAAAAAGCATGAACTCTTATCAATTCTTGTTTATTAATCTAGTAAGAGCAGCATCAGAAAACAGAATTATACAATTGTGCTAATTCTTCAGTCTTCAAAATCTTAATACCATATGTTTCGTTAGTTGCAACTCCTGGTATTTGATCCTAACTTGATGAGAGGCAGGTTCATTATTTTGGATACAACTACAAATATACTATCGGATTGGATATTCAACTCTCTCTCTCTCTCGTTTTCTTGTATATCAAATTTTTGGGATACTCTTGATGGAGGTAGACGTAAAATCTAAAAAGTGACTCTCTAAGAGTATAGATCCCTATACAATCAGATAGGCTCAGTTTGGAATGAGTACAAATACAAATATGTAGAGTGCAAAATCTCACATTTTGTATTATTTTGTATATATGTGTACTGTACCTTCCAAACTGAGCCATAGTGTTTGGTAGCACTGGATTAACGTCTGAACTCTCAAAAACCATGTTGTCGAATACTCACTTGTCTCCAAAGTGATATTCCCTTTAAAAGCATTTGAAACTACCCACAGGCGTATACAAAGTTTTGCACTGTGCATATTTGTATTTGCACTTGAATTGTGCCATGCTCAGTTTGGGAAGGGTGCCAAACTGCAAATACATATATGTTCAGTGCAACACTTGGTATATGGTATTGAGGTTGATCAGTTCACCTAATGGGTTGTTCGTCAATGAGGGTCCAAACTTGAGGAGGCAATAGGATTTGAATTGGGTCCAACTGAGCCCGGGTTCCTCTTGCTCCAATTTATAAAATCAGAGCTGCGCCTCCTCTGTCATGTGGAATGCGGCCAAGCTTACCTTGTCGTTGTCCCCTGTCCGTTGGTTGCGGAAGAATTGCTCGCATTTGTACAACCATCCCAAAGGATCTCCGGCGCCGTTGTATGAAGGGAACTCTAACCTGCTGTACTTGGGAACGACCGCGGCTACCGGGGTGACGACTTGCTGTTCGCCGGACGACTCCGTCAAGTCTGGTCGGCAGCTGTTTGTGGTTACAGCCCCTTCTGGATTCCTCTCCTTGTTAGAGAAATATGATTCCAGCAAGTGTCGCAGCTCTCAGACATTGTCTTTGACCTTACGAACCTCTACGTTGGTTTCCATGAGCCTATGCTCCAGTTCGTGGACCCTGGATGATAGCTGCTCCAGATCTCCCATGACGGTTGGCTCTGATACCAAAATGTTATGGGCTCGGGCGTAGGATCTCGTCACGGGTCGGTCCACGGGGAAAAACTCATGTTTTCCCTTATTCCTCCCCTTCCTAGTTGAACCTATCTTGGCGTCCTAGAGGGTGATTTGTCCAAGAGATCACCGAACTCTCATTTTACTCTCTTTCTTGACTGGAAATTTGATATCTTTATTCAATAATTTCAGCTCCTTAAATAGGAGATTGCAAGAGGTAAGAGTCATTGATAACTAAACTGCTTACAGATAAGATAGATAAGACTCCTAGATAAGACTCCCTACTCAAGAAGGATAAAAACTCCCTAAAATAAATCAGACTCTATACTACTCCTTATTGGAACAGATAAGATAAGAGTAAGAAAGCAGATAAGATAAGGATAAGGTAAGATGAACTGTGGCTAGCTAGATAATCTGATGAGGGTCCCACGTTACTGCTGCTGCCGGCGGCGGTACTTCTTCCCCACGAATGCGTCCATAACAGAATGGTTCAGCTATTTGGGTCAATGATGGTTTGAAAACCATGTCTTGAATACAGTATTTTCAGTTTGGAAAGAGTACAAATGCAAACATTACAAACATGTACAATGCAAAACTTTTGTATATGGTATTTGAAAAACATTTACAAACATTTACAAACATTTACAAATACAAAACTTGTGTATTTGTACTCTTCCCAAATGGAGTCTATTAAGTTGTAGTGGAGCCCAAATCTGGGCCAAGTGCATGAGCATATTCCACCATAACACACTACTGCTACAAATTATATTATATATTTGAATTCAGATAGCTGAATGCTTTATCTGTTCAGCGGGCTGTGGAAGGTTCCACGGAAGTAATAAATTCATGGGCCTCACCGTAAAAGATGTGGGCCCCATGCATTCATTCCAATCTGAACCTTGCTGTGCTTGGTTGTAATGCAAAATCAGAGCAATGCAAATGATTTGAGTGTAAATTCTGACCTATTTTTATTTTAAAATTTAGCTTATTTTATTAGATTGCTCTACAAATGAAGCAAATTAAGGCATGAAGTAGAATAAAACACAAAACAAAATTAAACGAGAATTTGCATTCCCATGCATTTATACCAATGCAAATAAAATTGCGCTGCAACCAAATGCAGCCTTAAATTCAAAATTAGATCATTAGATGTGCTTATCGCCTCAATGTTGAGCATTCCTTGGATTGAAGAAGCATGAATTCAAATCACAGGAATGCAGGCTATTCACATTGTCTTTGTGTGCTAGTGGGCCCTGTGTGCGCCCTGTCACTAATCCACTAATCCACTAGTTTAGATGTAAGATTTGTAGTACTGGGCCATGAAGTTAGCAACGTTGGCCTACTGCACGGCCCTCCTAAATCCGGATCTATTCTTCACAGAACGCGCCTCACATCATGTCCTGATTGCACATTGAGAATATCTCTTGTACTTGTATTTATTACTCATGGAGAGATGTTCCTAATACAGGGTGGAACATAATTGTGAGGCTGGTGCAAGGCGTGCTGTGAGGAGCAGATCCCAATTCGGCCCTACGTTGTAGCAGGCCGGTTGGGACGGTAGGTAGGCCTGCAACAGAGCAGGATGGAGCAATACACCATTAAACTTCTGAAGCATTCCAACGTTGGATGAAAACGAGATGTCACTAGCAGGACTACAAGGCGAGTCTCAAACAATTTGATGTGGCCAAATACATTGCCCAAGACAAATCTTAACCGTTGGCTCTAAAATTTTCAGAAGAATTCCACATGCTGCACAATAATTTGTCCATTGAAATTCTCAGAAAATTAACAGACCTTTGGATGAAATTCACACATCCAATGGCCCAAATTATATATACAGAGAATGTGCTTCCATTTCAAAGGTTCTGATCTGCAACAAGGCGATCTATTTGGCCACGTAAGACCACAGGTGACAAACCCATGGATGATGGTGGAATCATTCTTACCACGTGGAAAAGAGACAAAACAACTGAGTTCAATTTTGCTTCTTCAATTAAGGAAGCAAGCGTTCATCCTGAGCACCCCTGCCTGGATCCGATACGCAACATGACCTCATCGTCAGCCCAAAATGTAATGGGTCAGGGTAAACCATGTCCTGACCTAAATGTGCAGAATCAGTTCGAACCAGACCCTATACGGTCTGAATTTGGTAAGAACATGGCTAAGTGACCAATCATGAGTGAAGCCCCTATTAGAATAATGTTTTTAATTTTTTTTAAAGAAAATTACTACTTATTTGTTAAATTAACACATTTGGGCATCATAATTATGATGATATTACAACTATGTATAGATGCTTTTATGGTGAAAGAGAAAAATAAGTATTCAATATACATTTATATTAATATAATGTTGAATTGTTGATGCTTTTTTTTGATTTTTGTGAAAGTCATAAAATTTTGAATTTGATTATATAACATGAACTTATATCTTTACCCTTTACTTATATACGTGCATAATATGTGCCCTTACTCTTACACTAGTATATCAAATTTTATAAATCGTCGGTTCAAAACAACCAGAGCCAACCCAACCCAATTATAATAAGAAACATAATGCAGTCTCGGACCTTATATAATTGGGTTGGCTTGGTTTGAGTATGCTCGACCCATTGATAAGTTTGGGAGTGAAAGTGAACTCCAGCAACTATAAATTTTGTGCCTAGGAATGTATTGCATTTTATTGTACTTTTCCCTAGTTACTAAGGCTCTTTCTGTTTGTAGTGCAAATTTCACTTGCACTGATATGAATGCATGGGAGTGCAAATAGGCTGTGTTTAAATTCTGGTCTACCTTAGGCTCGGTTTGGAAGAAATATAAATATAAATTTGTAGGGTACAAAATTTTGAATTTTGTATTATTTTGTATGTATTTATACCTTACATATTTGTATTTATACTCTTTCTAAACTGAGCCTTAGTTTCATATTTGACTTCAGTTTATTTGTTTGTAACAAGTAGATTAGGAAGTACAATAATATGGTCTCCACCTTTTTATATGAAATAGAATAGATACAAGAGTAAGGATATTTATTTTACAGTGAGGTAAGAAGCAAAATTCTTTTTACAGTAAAAAGGTAATACAAATTTTGCATTAATTTTTGACTACATGCAAAATTTGCACTGCAAGTGAGTACAAAGAAGACCAAAAGTATGAATGTTATATCAGATAAGAGTGCAAATTATAATTACAAACAAATAGATGCAATTATGCGAAAATTGAACTGGATGAAAAATTTGTATTTGATTCGGATTTGAACTACAATCGAATAGAGGCTAAAAAGTTCATTAAAAAACATAGAATATAACTAAAAGAGAAAAAAGCCAATAAGCCTAACGAATGAAATTGAACAAAAAGGCATGCACCCACAAATAAAGTCAAGGATATAACCTGCACCTGCTTCATCTTGTATTGTTCTTGTATTGAATTGGGTGCGGCAGCCTGTTCTTTTGGGGTCTTTGACTCTTAGCA